GTTTTTTCATCCTGCATCCTGGCAATCACATCCTCCATCTGAACAATAGAGAGAAAGACACATGAGACTAAATTAAAACATATGTGCTTGTAATTCTCCTGCAACACGGGAAAGAAATAAGAATAAAAATGAGTGTCAATATTCCATGAGGTTGAAAATATGATTTTTAATTTATAATATTTTTTTAATAAAAATATTTTCATTGCAAATTTGAATTGCATCCAATGAAGCAAACACCTTTCTTTCTGTTAAAATTCTTATATAATATAATATAATATAATATAATATTTTCTAGATTTAAACACTATGAATTAATGAAATAAAATGTGGTCTCATACTTTTGAACCTTACTGTAATATATAATATAATATAATATAATATAATATAATATAATATAATATAATATAATATAATATAATATAATATAATATAATATAATATAATATAATATAATATAATATAATATAATATAATATAATATAATATAATATAATATAATATAATATAATAATCTATTTTGTTCGCTATATTTAAACACTCCATTCAAATAAAATTTGGGGAGCCAATCGGGGCTCAAACATAATGAATGAATTTCAAAAATATACAGCAAACTGAATAATACAGCCAATCAAAGTGAAGCATGAGGCCACAGAGACCTGAGATGAGAGCCCACAGGACGCTTGTCAGCAGGATCAACCCAGCCTTCAGTGAAAGAAGTAATTGGATATAACAACCCTATTTATTAGATGATGAGAATCCAAGGGTAGAGTGGGACCGATCACGTCACCCGCTCATTGATCCGCTGACATTTGGACTATTCTCAGAGACGCTCTGAATGTCTGAGTAAACAAGGCGAGCAGCGTCGCCAGGGAACTCACACTCTGGACATGTGACCGAGTACTTTACAGCTACCAGTGACATCATTCCAGTGAAGACCACATCGAAATCAGTTCAACAATATGTGCCCTGGAGATACCTGACATATGGAAGTGTGTGTGTATATATATGAGCTTGTACCTGTGAGTGTTTAGATAGACTGAGTGAGAGAAAGAGCATTGTTGCAGTTTCCTCAAGAGGAGGCCCAGTAAACATGTAAAATTACATCAGTGGGCGCTGCACTGAGTGTTTCTTCAGGCTGTAAGCCTTTGGAGAGAATTCTAACAGAAAATGTTGTTAAATTCCCTTGAAAACCGTTATTATGACTCCAGAAATAGCTTTCTTTTTTAAAATCTAGAGATGAAATGCTTTTGATGGCAGTTTCTAACCACCTACAGTGCACACGCACTCACTGAGGGAGGGAGAATCACACATACACTTTGTCGACAATGCAGACCGGGCTGGTGGGCAAACACTGAGGTGCTAATTTAAGGTAATGAGGGATCTGAGCATTCCACTCACTCTCACGACTGTAATAGACACATTTTAGAGAGAAAGACGGAGAGAGAGAGAGATAAAGATAAGCACAGCTCAGCTGTATGGTGCAATGATGTGTGATGATATGAAGTCCCAAAAGCCTCACTGGCATCAGCTGTACTACCACAGCCAATCTGTGGCCTGAAGTTCTTTTAAACTGATGCAGAGATTCATGGGTAAATTTAAACTGTTGGCTTGAACTCCTTATTTAAACTAAAATTAACTTCATTGTTACCAGTCAATTTTACACCAGCAAAATTAACCGTTTATTGAAACTGATTAACTTAGTCATACACCGTGCTGTTGTTTTTGTGAATTAACTATTTGGTTTTAATTAAACACAATATTAGGATTAATGAATCTAATCAGACAAACAAATATCTGCTGACAAAATCTGCTTAATAATATAAAATATACACTACTGTTGAAAAACATTTTTTTCTAGAATACATTAAATTGATCAAATGTGACAGCAAAGACAATTTATATTTAAAATAAATGCTGCTCTTTTAAACTTTCTATTAATCAAAGAATCCCGAAAAAAAAAATATCACGGTTTCCACAAAATATCAAGCAGCACAACCATTTTCAACATTGATAATAATAGGAAATGTTGCTTGAGCATCGGCATATTAGAATGATTTCTGAAGGATCATGTGACACTGAAGACTGGAGTAATGACTGCTAAAAAATCAACTTTGCAATCACAGGAGTAAATTACATTTTCAAATATATTCAAATAGAAAACAAATATTTTAAATTGTAATATTTCACAATATTACTCTTTTTTACTGTATTTTTGATCAAATAAATAAAAAAATAAATGCAGCCTTGATGAGACTTCTTTTAAATATCTTACCAACTTCAGACAGTTAACTATTAGTATTAGCTAATAGTTAATTGACTGTAGTAACAGTTGGGCTGCGCTAATTGTGAATTCAAACATGAAGGTGGTAGCTCAAGCTTGAGTTATTCTACTGTAGTCATAGGATAATCCCTGATTATGGAATATACATATGGGTCAGTGTGCATGATTAATTGACAGTTCTAATATAACAAGCAGCATACCTGAAACATTCACACAGACACTGCCCTCAAAGCAAAATGTCCTCTGGCGGTGTATCTCCAGGGATCACACATCTGGCGGCAGCCAATCACAGAACAGACTGATAAAAGCCAATAAGATCAGTTGCCCAGAAAAGAGATATCAAATGCAAATTTAGTCAAAGACCAAAGCACACTATGTGCACTACAAAACATTTTTGGATATTTTCTGATCATTGAAGTAAACATTAAACACACTAATAAACCATGAGGCTAAAATGCTGGCTAAACAACTAGAAAAAAAAAATAAATAAAACAAATTCACCCCAGAATCTGAATTAAATTGTTTAGAAAGCAACTGAATGCTTTTTTACTTTTTTAATCCTAACTATAAATGTATTCTTTTTTTTGTTTGCAGTGGATTTGAGCAGATAGTAGCTGTCGCAGTGCCTGCAATATACAGTATATACCACTTCACACACTGGGAAATTATGGCCAACTCAATTATTCATTTACTAAATGACTTCAGCTTTGTCACTGACTCATGGCAGACTGTGTCTTGTCCTCACTACAGACACATCTTAAAATATATTATATTAACAGTCCTTGCATACCAAAGTAATTGCCTCCTCATAAAGACATTTCAACATTTATTTTGGGTCTCAACTGCACAGCAATAGCTTGGTCTGGCTTCAAACTTAAAAAGAATAAATAAATAAATAAATAAATAAAAATTGCATCATCCCCAAACGGTTATGTATATAACTGTGATACCATGATACTTCTTTGTTACTGTGTGCTAATACACTAATAATGTAACTGTGGCAACTTGGGACAAAGAAAAGAAAATTCGGATACAAAGCAAAGTATCACAGCAGATATACCAATTGGGGATCACATCAAAGCATCCTTATTCATCAAGCACAAGTGTGCACTTACAAAAAAACAAAAGGCTTCATCCAAAATCTTCCATACCAGCTAATTAACAGAGACAGACACAAAGAAAAACACTCACATGCATAATCAGACTTCCTCTATGTTTAACCCTGCGACCCTGAGCTCTGATATCCCATGTGACACCACTTCTCTCTCTCTGTAGCAGACAGCTGGAGTTCAGAGCGCTGGTGACAGCATAAGTGTCTTTTGATGATTATTTTGCATCAGAGAAGTGAGGAAGTCTTAGTGGTCGGACACAGACAAGGTTAATGCAGGAATGACATGAATTTTAGATCTCTTCTGCTCATTCCCTTCATCCCTCACTCCCTGTCTCTCATTTTGCAGCCACCCCCCTTTCTGTTTCCCAGGCAACCAGGGTGATGATGACATCATATACATATGTCAGCCTAGGAAGAGACAGAAAGAGAAAGATTTAGATGTCTTTAAGTGTATGCGTAAGACAAATTAGAGAAAGGGAAACAGACAAGAACATTAATCATATGTTTTTCCATATGAGTCATTCTACTGTACACTTGTGGCAACAGATGCTGTCACTCACTTTAAGCAGTCAGACTGTAGTGTACGTGCACTACCGTTCAAAGTTCGGAGTCAGATTTTTATAAAATATTATTATTATTTTTTAAAGACATTAATACCTTTTATATAGCAAGGATGCATTAAATTGATCCAAAGTGACAGTAAAGACATTTATAATGTTACAAAGGTTTTCTATTTCAAATAAACACTATTCTTTTGAACAGAACAACTTTTTCAACATTGATGAAAATAAGAAACATTGGT